CTTTGCTTAATTCTAAGAGTTAAACTAAAGCTAAGACAGTCTTCAGATGGTCACTTAGAGGACTTCAGTTGATGCCATGAGTAAAAGAAAAATCTATGAGAATTTGAAAACTAGAATAGTGTATATGTTTTCAAAATCTTTAAGGAAAATATAATGTCTCTCACAGAAGTATTAGTTCTCTTCCATGATGGAAAATAATCATATGATCACTAACTCCTAGAGACCATCAGCACACATCTGGGGAATAAAATAGAATTCAACACTGGAACCAACCCAACTCAAGACATAGTAACAAAGCTTTACAAAATGAACGACCAAACAAAGCCCAGTAAGGTAAGAAACATGATGGAGATGGCATTCATGTCATCTTTGGCAAGTTCAGTTAGACAAGAGCATCTCTAAAGCCACGACCTCAGTCCCCGTCCTTATTCTCACCTCTTCTCTTTCCGTCTCTACACCTAGAGCTTCCGGTCTGCACGTACAGTAGGTAATGGGTTAGCACTCCATGTAAACTCGTATTTACATGATTCCTCACTGACGTGCTGTCAACACATGCATTGCTGCTGCTGCTGCTGCACAACACTTTAACACAAATAAGAGAGTAATTTTTTCTTTGAAATTTCTCTTTACACTGAGTTCGTAATCTACCCACAGAACAAAACGGAACACATACAAAGAGTTGCTAATTAGCAGTTAGAAAAAGGATCTTTTTGCTTGTACAGGTCTGCTATGAATTTCCAAAATAATGCCTCTTTCCAAGTACAAAACATCTATTTTGTTGCCAAATAGACTGGAGCCATGTGAACTTGACGTAGACTCCCATTCATGACATCAGTAATGCCCTACATCAGTCAGCTTTTTGCCACCATGGCAAAGTTATTGAGAAAAACAACTAAAATCTATTTATGCCCGTGGTCACTTGATCTGGCTAGTTCTGCACCACTGTCAGACACAGCAATATGGCAGGGAGAGGGAACAAAACTGCTTGTCACAGAGTGGCCAGGAAGCAGAGGGATGAAGGGTAAGGTGGACTATCTAAGTCACTGATGACACTAGCACCCTCATGACCTAGCCAGTTCTCAACAAAGGCACTGGCTGGGACCAAGCCTTTGTCACATGTGTCTTTGTGGGGAACATTTGATCAAACAACATCCCCCTCAGCAAGTACCCCCTTTAAAGCATTTAAGAAGTTTCTAAAAAGGTACTATGGATTTAGATAAGATGGATGCTAGAAGAAACCGTCCTAAGTGAGGTAACCCAGTCACAAAAAGACGGTATGTACTCACTCATATATGGATTTTAGATACGAAACAGGGGTGTGTCAGCCTACAATCCCATCACCAGAGAGTCTGGGAAACAGGGAGGACCCTAAGAGAGACATGCATGGTACCCCAGAGAAGGGGAATGGGACAGGATCTCCTGAGGGGAATGGGAGCATGGGTGAGAGGGAGCTGGGAGAAAGAGAGGGGTAAAGAGGAGGGGAGAGGATGACATGGGGGAGCAAGAAGGTTGAGTTGGGAGAATAGAGGAGAGGAGGGGGAGAGATACCATAATAGAGGGAGTCATTACAGGCTTGAGGAGAGATCTGGCACTAGTGAGATTTCCAGAGATCTATAAGGATGACACCAACTGGCAATCTAACCAATAGTGGAGAGGCTACCTTAAATGCCTTTACCCGATAATGTGACTGGTGACTACCTTATAAGCATCCTAGAGCTTCCATCCAGTGGCTGATGGAAGCAGAGGCAGGCACCCACAGTTAAACACTGAACTGAACTCCTGGAAACCAGTTTCAGAGAGGGAGGAGTGATGAGCAAAGCCGTCAAGACTGGGCTGGTGAAACCCACAGAAACAGCTGACTTGAACAAGGGGGGATCTCATGGACCCCAGACTTATAGCTGAGAGGCCAGCATGGGACTGATCTAGACCTCCTGAACGTGGGTGTCAGTGATGAGGTCTCAGTATTCTTTGGGGCCTTGGGTAATAGATTAGTATTTATCCCTGGCATACAAATGGACTTTGGGAGCCCATACCACATGGTCTCCCAGCCATGATCTCTCATCCAGGACACATGGGGGAGGGCCTAGCCGCAGTCCCAGGATGATATGACAGACTTTGGAGATCCCCCATGAAGGGCCTCACCCTCCCTGGAGAGTGGAGTTGGGACTGGGTGGGGGAGTTGTGGGGGTGGGGTCAGAGGGGAGTGAGAGAGAGCTGGGATTAACATTTGAAACAAGCTTGTTTCTAATTTAAACAAACAAAAACAGGTTAAAACAAAAACAAAAACAACCCCCAAAAGGAGTAAAAAGAAAGAGCTTTCATATTATCTCACTTGATCCTTATAAATTGTGGGACAGGCAAGAGTCCTTAGGGAAGGGTGCAAGCAGAAATGGTTAGCATCACGGCAGAAGGGAACTTCTTTCCTTAGAATGGAACAATGCTAGTGATTCCTACAGCCACTTAATACCAGAGCCTACAAGTAACCAAAGGACAAGTCCCTCTCCATCCCAGCACAACAAGAAAGGGGACAGTGAACAGTATCAACTGTCCACAGATGTCATCTACATCAAAACGAAAACCTTGGCTGGAATGACTTTTCTTTCTGAGTTTACAAAGATGTTTTGTTTAACTTATACATAGAAGAAGCACTTAAGTGAAGTCAGTGAGGTGGGGGAGGGGAGGGAAGAAGAGGGAATCATAAGAATGAGTAAAATGGTAGGAAAGATAAAGGGACAGCGGGCTTTTCACAGGAACAGGATAACTGGTTAGCCTAGCACTGTCAACACTACCTGTACATGCTATTGCCCAAATAATAGAAGAGACACAAGGATGAACAGGAAAAAAAATGGCATTCAAGTAGCTTACAGTGTAACTGGAAAAGTAATACACACAGTGACAAAACATCCATTCATTGATGCCCCATTTGCAGGAAGGTGAGTTTGGGAAAGGCAAAGGTGAATAAGACAGAATCTAGGGAGGAGACCTATGTAGCACAGACGTGCAGGCTCCAAACGAAGAGAATCTGAGTGCTGAGGAGTGGTCCAAACAGGATGATTCCTATCGGGGAGGAGTTGGGGACAAGACAGGGACTGAGCATTACAACATGTGGCTTTTAAAGGTTATGCAGGACTGGGCATGTGCCCGTCTGCAATGGGAAGGCATTCTGAATGAATGTGTATAGAGACACAGACTCAGGAAAGCAAAGGGAAGAAAGTGAGGGCTGTGGGGATGTGGGCAGTTGACACATACGGTTTTGGGGTGGGATCTCACCTTATGTGAAGGGATTTACAGAAAGTCTAATCACAGACATGACACGGGTCTAAAGAGTTTTTGTGACTTAGAGGAACATAGAACAGAAGAAAAAGTAGAACAGACTATCCTAAAAGAGTTTTAATGTCAATGATAAAAAGGGAAAGGAAACTAGGCTTATAATCACAGAAGAGGTAATTCTGAAGGGCAACTGATAAAACTGAAGGCAAGTATGACTCTGACAGTTGTTCCAGACAATACAAACTGATGATAGTCATGGTACAGCCAAGCCAGAAAACAATTCCTGGGGCTAGCCCACTTCTGGGGTCTTCTTAGATATGCTTGCTATGAACTAACATTGGTCCAAATAAAACTACACATCAAGAACTGAGCCTGAATAAACATCTTAACAAACACATAGATAAATGATCACATAGACCCCCAAGTCCCCTTGAGTGTCAGGGTATTTTATTGTTTGATATCCCTAGTCCCTGTTTTGAGGGCCAAACCCAAGATCTCGCATATGCAAAGTACAAGTTCTACCAGCTGCGTTGTGCTCTTGAATTATAAGATCAACATATGCTCCCTAGAAAACAGAGTCTTTTCACTGTTCGTGTCAATACTGGCATGCATAACACATGGGCACACAGGGATGGCACCTTCATGGCAAATGTAATTTATCACAGAATCACCAACATTAGCTTAACCTCAGTTTAAATGAGTTGGAGGCGCTGAGGCTAAACTCAGCAAACCATGACTCAGACATTACCAGGGACCCTGATGCAGAGGTTCCAACCACAAGCTTTAAACTCAATCAGAACTGATGAGAACTTCAGCTACAACACATTGTAAATGAGGGACCTTGAAGCAGCCAGTTAACTCCTCTACTTTAAAAAAGGAAAGGAACACTATATGGTAGAGCGATCATCTAAAGGATAAACTATTTTTATTTGTCCCTTTTGCCAGTTTCATCCTTTATAGCCTGCCTTACCAGAGTACTCAATTAAGACAACAAACACATTAAAATGTTTAATATCCATATTAATGAGGCTCTCCTACTAGTAACAAAAACATGAACAGCTTGCCAAAAAACCTAGATTTAAGCCTTTTGATAATTAAATGTCAATGGCAAAGCTGAAATAACCCATAAAAATTTATTTGTAAAGATACTTTAAATTTCCGTTATCTTACTAGAAGCCCAATATGTGCACACATTTGCAACTGTTCCTGAGGAACTTTCAGAAATAGACTCAAAATAAAGATTAACTACCAATTTTTACATTCCAACTTTACATCAGAGAAAGATACGCACTGCTATATCTTGTACACTTGATCAAATAAACTATTATATTTATTCTCTTGACTTTAAAACAAAAGAAATAGCAGAACATACTAAATTCCCCAAACTATATTTGCCAAAAAGCCAATTTTCCTACTACTTCCTGTTACTCAGTTTCATTAGCCAGTATTTTCTGGGTGTTTGTTAGCACTTTGCTGTTAAGATTTGGATGACAGTCAACATGTGCAAATAGCCATGAGCTACCTAAATATACTTACAGCTAAAATTTTTCTACACTATAGATCTATTATTACCTTTAAAAGTACCTTGTGTTATTATAAATACACATTTATCATCAAAAGTTCAATACATAATTCTGATCACTAATGACCAATTTATAAATAATTTTAAGACAGAAGGCCTATGATATAGTTTATTTTTGTGTATAGTAACAGTAATACATCAGATTTACCTGAAATAGGGATATTCTGTGAAACTGATAACTGCACGTCTCCTGTTCCTGGTGGCATATCAACAACTAAATAGTCCAGTTGACCCCAATCGACCTAAAAAGCAAGATGATATAAATATTGCCACTGTGCACAACTTCTGTGAATGTTAATGCAAACAAATTTAATGCATAGATAGCATACCTAAAACAATAGTTATCCCGAGCCCCCATTAGGGACCAATGCTGTGCTGTGGGCTAAGGACACATGGGTGTGTAGATGGTAGACACTACCTGCTGGGCCTGCTTTGAATGATAAGCGTAAGTTTCCAGGTGACAGGGCCCTACACACACACACACACACACACACACACACACACACACACACACACACACACACTAATGGCCTCTTTCACTGTGGTCTTCTACTCAGGATAAATCATTTATTTTCACTGGATATAGCTTACATTTTGCCTGTAAATCTTAGCTTTTTGTCCCATAGAGGTTTTGCTTCATATATTTGTTTAGTATAACATTTCTTGTGCAAATAATTTTTGTTATTTTTCCTTCATTAATATAAAGACACTAATAATTAAAACAAAAACTTAACAACAGAAAAATGATTTAATTTTAATATGATGAATTTCCCAATACCAGTTGATCCTTTCTTTATAGGCACTGGGTTTTAAAGGAGTCACCAGATACCTGAGTCTATAACACTCAGCTTCGCTTTAGTAGAGAAGCATTCTATGTAAGTTTCTCCTCAGCTAGTTCTTCTCTCAGCTTCTCTAGTCTCTGTGAAAGGCCTGGGGTCCTCTCAGTTAGCTAGCCTAGAAAGCAGACCTTATAATTAATGTTTCTCTTCCCTCATTGCCCCCAGCCAGTTACTTACTATGTCTGTTAAAACTCTGAAACACATACACTTCTTCCGTCTACTGTCAGGAAATAAGGCCACAATCACCTGCTCTTATTAAGCCTCTGGGCCACTATCTGTCTCATCATTGCCAATCCAGTATGTCCCTAGCAACACACACACACACAAAAATGCACACACTAACACACACAGATATGTACACATGAACACATAGACAGACAGACAGACAGACAGACACACACACACACACACACACACACACACACAGAGAACGCTACTGGGATAGTACTTAATTGCTTCTACTGCTCTTAGAATAAAGCACAAGTTTCTGCTCCCATCATCCATCATGCCTGGTCTTTTTCATTGACTCCACCTCAGCTCAAAATTCACTTCCTTGGAAAAAACTTCCCAAGTCCACTAGACCAGACAGTGTGACCACTGTGCATGTCACCAAATCACTTTTGTCCTTATCCAATGAGACTAAGTAATAATTGATACTTAAATGACTATGAAATTTCCACACTAGATATTAATAGGTAGTCATCAAATAGATATATTTCCAGTTCTACATAAAGAGCCTACTGACTTTCAGAAACTGAAGTGAACAAGGACAGTCATCCTACTTCTGTCTCATGATGCATTTTGTTAAACTGTAAACTGAGTTAAACACCTTAGCAAGAGATGGACCGCACCAGGCGGTGGTGGTGCACACCTTTAATCCCAGCACTCGGGAGGCAGAGGCAGGTGGATCTCTGTGAGTTCGAGGCCAGGCTGGACTGACAGCCTCCAAAACAATACAGAGAAACCCTGTCTCGTAAAACCCAAAAAAAAAAAAAAAAAAAAAAAAAAAAGAGATGGACCGCACAGGAGCTGCTTGCTGCCCTTCCAAGAATGAAGACATGCAAGACTGTGAGACTTTCCACGTTCTGTCTCACAGAAAGTGCAGCTTGACTTCCTACGCCATTCTAAAATCATAAACGGCTTAGGTTAAACGTTTATTCATACAGCACATGGCAATGCATCTCTTCAACACATGGCTACTAGAATCTCCTAGCAAAGTCACCATGGAACCAACATTTTAGGGAACTAATCAGGAAGAGAACTAGACACACCCTCATTATACAAAATTATTTGGTCCCTGATTTGGAACTTTACATCAGACAGGAAGAGGTTAAAAATCTCTTCAGTCTGAACTGCACATAGCAAGTGTTACAAAGATGTCAGATGGCAGAAGATTTATCAATGGATTTTACTGACTCTTTTATCCCGTCCTGTGGTAAAGAATACTGGCAGAGGAGCGAGAATGGAGGCTGGAGGAAGGCTCTACTCAAGACAGGACCCCGGTCAGAACCAGCCAAGGCATACAGCTGAGGAAGAAGCTCTCCAGGCGGAAGTCCTAGAAATGAGAGGGGCGTGGCACACTGAAGGCCAGCCTGGAGGGCAGTGCAGGGTGCTTCCTAAAGTAGCGCCCACCCCATAGCCATCACCTCTTGCCTTCCCTGACACCATTTTTTCTTCAAAACACCTATTAGTAGTGACACTATGCAGTGATTTGCTTTTAGGGTCCCTGTGATTTCATAAACAGATAGTGGTATAATAATGCATTTTAAGAAAACAGTGAGTACAGACTGATTTTCGATAGCTTAGAAAATAGTTACCCTATAGTTACCCTTACCCGCTGTGGTAGTTTGAATGTAGTTGGCCCCCATGAGCTCATAGGGAGTGGCACTATTAGGAGGTGTGGCTCTGTTGGAGTAGGTGTGGCCTTGTGGGAATGGCTTTGAGGTCTTCTTGCTCAAGCTCAGTGTGACACTCAGTTCACTTCCTACTGTCTGAGACAAGGATGCAGAACTCTCAGCTCCTTCTCCAGTACCATGTCCACCTGCATGCCACCATGTCCCACCATGGTAATAATGGACTGATCCTCTGAAGGCCAGCCCCAATTAAAGATTTTCCTTTATAAGAGTTGCTGTGGTCATGGTGTCTCTTCACAACAATAGAAAGCCTAACTAAGACAGCTGCCATCTATGAAACTCTCCCCGGGAAGATAAAGGAGATTTTTCTCCTTTTCTGTCCTCATCTGAGACTGGCAGACAGGCAAGTCTTCATTTCAGAGAATGCCTCATGCCAACAATTGACCATGGTTGTTCCCTGCCATTTCAGCATATTGATGATACTGCTTCCAATTTCTTATTTCAGAGAACCAAGGTTCCAAGGAACTAAAAATATGTCACATTACAGTAGTTCATTTCAAATGACTCTTAAATTAAACCCAACTACCTGAGAAAAGAGCTGACCCAGGACCTACATGATGTACACTGACATTCTAAACAAAAGCGTGTTGACCTGAATGGGACTGAATTCCCGTCAAGAGGCTAATAACCACAGCTTCTGATTAGCAGATGGGGGTGTTGGCGCCATGACCTTTACATATGACCTGCTGAGTGCTGATGACAGAAGCTGCTCTGCTGGACTGATAGTGACAAACTTCTTGAACCAGCTAGGAAACCAAAAGTAGAACTGCTGGTTGTTTGTTCATGGACCTTTCCTAGTAGTCTACCCCTACACTTCAGTGTGTTTGCATTGACAGCATCTTGTGAAAGATGTCTAAATGCTTGCTACTTTGATCGATTTTGTTGTTCATTTTTAAAATATAATTTTCACTATTTTTTGACAATTTCATACATTCATACAAAGTACTTTGATCATATTTGGCCTCCTCCACACAACTTCTCCAAGATTCACCCCTAAACTCTACCTCCCAACTATGTCCTCTCTTTTGTAATAATTCACTGATTCCAAACAGTGCTGCTCAAATTCTGAGTGTGGGGCCATCCACACTCTATCAGGGGCCACATTCCTAAAGAAACTGACTATTCTCCAGAAGCCATCAACTACCAATAGTTGCCCAGCAAGGTGTGTGTTCTAACTCTTCAAAGATAATGTCCCAGGAAGAAACTGACCCATTTTTTTTCTCATTCATAGCACTTTCTCCATCCTTACTGGTATCCCCCAAAAGTTCACATGCTAAAAGCTCTGTCCTCAGTGTGACGATGTTGAGAAGTAATAGAACTTTTAAGAGACACTGTTGTGTAGTTACTCCCCATCCCCAAGTACATTCAAGAGAGGGTAAACTCATTAAAACTCAGAAAATCAATGAAAAAAAAGAAGGAAGTAAAAAATCACAAGTCTTGGAAGTTTCTGAAGCTTACAAGATTTGCAAAGCCCTTATTCAAGGTAACCACTGCCAGAAAGAGACTGTGACAATGTAAGGAGTCTGCAAATCATGTAGGAAGTTCCAGGGATTCAACCTATAAGAATCAGCACCCCTGCTAGGGTGGGCTTTTCTGTGAGGTACCCATCCTGCTGTAACCGCTCACTCATACTCCTATACGTACACTCAATAAATTTACTGGCTCACCAAACTCAATTTAGGTGGAAAAAAAAGTTTCTTTGGTATGTCATAGGTGCCCTCTGTGGCAAATAAACAATTGTTCATGCCTCTATCCCTCGTCACCACCACAATAGTCATACAACTGAGTGCAAGACAATTAGGTCATAGATGCAACTACCAATAAAGGATTTAATGCTAATCTAATAGGATGGGTTAGTTCTTAGAGACAGATACTGTAAACAAGCAAGTGTAGGCCCTGGGTCTATTTATCTAGTTTCCTGTCTCACCATGAGTTGATACTCTTGCATGGGCTCCTACCATGATGCTATCCACCATACTGTGATGTCATGAGTTATACTCTTTCATGGGCTCCTACCATGATGCTATCCACCATACTGTGATATCATGAGTTAATACTCTTGCATGGGCTCCTACCATGATGCTATCCACCATACTGTGATGTCATGAGTTATACTCTTTCATGGGCTCCTACCATGATGCTATCCACAATACTGTACAAGGGGACTCCACCAGAACCAGCTGATCTTGAAATCTCAGGCTCCCTAACTATGGGCAAAATAGCATCTCTCTATAAATTATTCATCCTGAAGGACTTTGTTTTAGCAGCAGAAAATGGACTAAAAACTGGTATAGAAAATGCATTTAACCTGACATCAGCTCCCACAGTCAAACTTCACAGACAAATTAGTGGGGTAATAGATTATTTTCTATTTAACTGATTTCTAAGATACAATACAGCTCTTTCAGCTTTAAGAATTGTTACTTTTATAAAATTCCCCAATTGCAGCTAAGATCAGGCATGTTCAGAGTCCTATGTCTACAGATGAAA